CGTGACCTTGATTAGAAAAATAAAAAAAACTAAAAAAAATCAAACGCCAGCCAAAATAACATTTAAAATCCTCTCCCTATCAGTGTCATAGTATCCCTGAAGAGATTGTAAGTGTAGATGTGGGGCAAGGAATATCATACAGGAGAGGTTCCTTTAATTTTCCATGGTTCCCAGTGTGTGCATTGCCTGGAACTTGACCTTTGATAAAGTCTATTTAACAGCTTAACCTTAACCCCATCTCCAGCCCTAACCTTAACATTAATCTCAGCCCAAAACTTAATTTTTCACCAGCCCAAACCCTAACCTTATCCTCGGCCCTAACCTTAATCTTTACCCCCATACCCCCAACCCTAACCTTTCTCCAGCCCAAACCTTAAACTAACCCCAGCCCAAACCTTAACATTAATCCCAGCTCAAACCTTAAACTAACTCCAGCTCCAGCCCTAACTTTAATATGAATCTTTACCATTAGTCCTAACCTTAACCTTAACCCCAGTCCTAACCTTAATCCCAGCTCTAACCATCTTGGCATGAGATGGCAGCTGGGGTACCATACCTTGCTCAGGTCCACTTGGCTGCTCTCCTGGTTGACCCCGTTCTTTACCTCTAAGGTGGCTGGGGGTGCCTGAGGGGACAAAGTCTGACCTGGGGAAGAGGTCAGAGGTCAGAGGTCATCAGTATCTGTTGACAGAGAACAGGACAGAGAATCTATCTTTCTATCACTCTCTCCCTCTCCTCCCTGCCCATTTACCCCCCTCCTCTCTTAGCCTCTCCTCACCTTCTCCACCTTCTCCTTTTGCCCCTCCTTCCTCTCTCTTCTCCTTTCTCCCCCTTTTCCTTTCTCCTTTAACCCTTCAACCCCTCTCCCTTCTCCCCTCACCTTTTCTCTTCTCCCCCTATCTCCTGTCTCCTCCTCTCTGTCTCTGTTCTCCTTTCTTCTCTCTAATCCCCCTCTGTGTATCGCTTCCTCTCTCCTCTCTCCTCTCTCCCATTTGCCTTCTGTCCTGTCTCCCCCTCTCTCTGTCTTTCTCTCTCCTCCCTCTCCTCTCCCTCTCTCTCTGTGTATCTCCCCTCTCCCGTCTCTCTCCTCTCCCCCTCTATGTCTTTCTCTGTTCTCTCT